GGCTACCTATTTAAAGCAGAACAAATACACAAATGTTACATGTAGTGTTCAAACTAAAGACTTATGCCAAGATTTCTTGGCATTTTTTAGTCCTCAAGTTGGATGTTATTTTTTAGAGATAAATCAGCTCGTGTTGAAAATTTGATAACTGCAGCATCCTGGAACTTTTGATGAAAAGTTACCCAATATCGCTTGACAATGGAACAGATTTAAGTTCCGAAATATAGAAATTTCCCTGTTATGATGTAAAATGTTTTATATATATATATATATATATATATATATAGCTTACCCTGAAGATCTGTATATTGAAATCTAAGTAGGTTGTTCCTGGCTCTTTAGGATTTATTTCATTTACCCATGCTCTACTTATCGTATTGAGCACTCTACGTTTTAGCTTTATTACCCGCTTGGGTTATTTTCTTTGGACTAAAAACTTAAGGCACTGGACGATTTATTTCGCCCTGTTCGGATGTTTTTAGTTCTTTCTTTGTTTTTCGAATTTTTTCCTCGGTTACCAATTTGTTTTGATAGATTTACAAGTTATGGTCTCTGAGGTTTTTTTCCAACCGAGTATATATATATATATATTCATGTTTGATTGAATAATATCGACAAGTTCTGTCTATCAAATTCTTTATGAACTTTTTAAATGTTTAAAATTAGACGTTTTTAAGGGAAAGATTTTCTAAAATATTTGATAGAACGTGTCGATATTATTTAAGAAAAGACATTTGCAAACATTAACGCTACTCAAATACATTTTATATGATGGGCTCTCCCATCGTATTCGACGTATGTGGGTCAAGCAGCTCAGTTCCTAGGAACAGACAGCCCACAGACACTAGCACATAGGATTCGATTATAGTGGTGATATCTTTGTGCAGAACCAACAACTCTTTTTGAAGGGCCGAATACAAAGAACTGGTGCACTACGTGCCACAAGGTCTCCAAACAACTCCCCGCATATATTCTGTGAAAAGCTGATTCTAGTTGTAACCCGAGTTTCACGCTCACGCAATCTTCAGACGACAAGTTCAAATCGTCTGAAGAAACTCGATTTATGACTAGTGTCATCTTTTCATAAGATTTAACGTTGTTAAGCGTTTTGTGCTCGGTCTAGACAATCTAGGCTTCGAGCACTTTACTTTTTTCCCTTTCTTTTTTTCCGTATTGTCGTTTTTATTTGAGACTTGATTTGGATAAGAGTTTTAGGTTTTTACAAGTTGTCCATTGGTCACATTAACGGTTTTGGGATTTCTTTAATATATATAAAATGTCTTAAAATAATTGTCGGACTTTGTCCATTTCATAATGTGTGTGTGTGTATATATATATATATAAATATATATATATGTGAAAAGTGAATATAAATATAAATAAATATATATATATGTATAATTATTTATATATTATATGCGCGGTACTTATTAGAAAGCTCAATATCAGAGATAGAATAACATATTTGGTTGGATAGATGTGAGCTTTTAGAACCTTGGTTTCACGCTTTAGCGATCGTCAGACAAACGCTAAAGCGTGAAACCCAGGTCACAAACTCACATCTATCCAACCAAATATATATATATATATATATATATATATATATATATATATATATATATATGAAAATATGGTATATATACATTTTATATATTATATATATATATATATATATATATATATATATATATATATATATATATATATATATATATATGGGGGGGGGTTAATAATAAAATAAATAGACAAAACTTGTCTATATTATTTAACGAAAACATGCATTATATTCAGAATAATTCTGTCCTAAGCCGATAACTCGATGGTAGGAATGATTTCTTCATAGATTTCTTTCATTTGAACATTCATGGATTCATCTTATGAAGGAGGAATTGTCAACTGTGCAATTTCAAACACTCATCATTATCCTCGGCTTTACTCAAATTGTTTAATTTAACACTCTTGCATTATCCTCTACTCGTGAAAATGAAGGATTTTGATGGGGTCTCTTATTCTATTATGCCATCACTATTTCTTTTTTTCGTTACTCTATACTACACCAGTAGTTCTCAACCATTTTTTACCCATCGACCACTTTTAGAGGGTGTTTCAGAGTTTGATCAGCTCTGAGGCGGTCGATTTGGTGAGGTCAGTATGATGTTTGAAAGACCCGAAACTGCCCATGATCCATCTCCAGAACATCACTGACGATATATATATATAAAGATATATATTAAATATATGTTAATTCTTTTTTGTGGACACCGATAACTATTCAATAAAAAGGAAAAACAAAAAAAATCTTTATTTTATTTTAGAACAGGTAAATTTAGGAATTGATTATAGAAAAAGAAAACTGTATATGGTTCCTTTATATATAATTTTACACATTTTACATTTAGATTAATATATTAATATTTTATTTTATCAACATTTAAAATTATATTATTTTTTGCTATATTAAATTAATTTATACAATAAATTACAAGGCCGGGAGTTATATGTGATGTGATGAAGAAACGAAATGTTTTATGCATTAGACATCCGTCGGCTTTACTTTTCTCTCTCTTTTTAAATTCCCCACCCCACCCAATCTTTCTCTCTGATGAGATGTCCCCCCCTTGCCAGTCTTTCTCTAAAGTTTTTTTGATTTCCGAGTTTTTTTTTTTCTGTTTTCATTTCCAATTTGTAGGTCTGATGATTTGGATCGTAGGAAGGATTCAATGGAATAAATTATGACCATGGAATATTAGTGTTTAAGCCTTTTATATAGGCATATATATATTTGTGTATTTGGGAAATTTTTCATTCATACATGTGCCAATTAGGAATTATATAGACAAGATATTTACATAAAATAAATAGAGGAGCTCCTTGTAAATATTGGGCCACCAGACCATATCAATATATATATATATATATTATATATATGACAAATGGTAATTAATTTATAATATTATTCAGTCTGTAAAGTGTTACATTGAACACAGTAAACCAAAATATCTATAGCATCTGATTATATAATGGTTTCAATATAGTCTTTCCACATTATTTACATTATTCATATATATATATTATATATATATATTTGTCTCCATTTCTTTATAAAGTTTTTTTTATTCAACTTTGTACGCTCTTAAAACGGGATTAATTAGGTGGTTGGAATGTCGAACTAAACCCTTTATATTTCGCTCACTGGGGTAGACTGTTCTAGTTCCACGTGCCATGTTTAATGGATGTCAATTATCAGTTATCTCCTGTTCATTTCCCACATGGCAGAGTGGATAAAGGCGTTAGTTAGATCCAGTGACAGGACCCAAAGAATGTGAGTTCAATACCCGGTTAAGGCAGTGGAGAATTTTCAGAGGGAAATTAAAAGGCATAAATTAGGTAGAATTTGTTCGAATGTTCGGTATATCCGGGCTCTTTCGGAGATCTTTTAGCCATTATCGAGGATGTTTTATTTTTACTTTTAATTGAACGTATGGATTGTTTTATGTATGTATCTCGAGTAACAGGAATGTTTTTTCCAAACACGGCCAGCACATTGTGCCCGTGTTCATAGTTGATGTTATCGAGTGTTGCATATATATATATATATATATATATATATATATATATATATGGTAATACTAGTTTGGAAAACCTGGGTTAGCTCAACATGTAATATAACAAATTGATGTCTGAGGAAAAAATTGAAAATAAAAAAAGAAAGAAAGAACATAACACTGAAAACGGATCCTCTCGTCAATTCTTGAGTTCCAAGTCATGGTTTTATTTGGTTATCAATAAATATTGTTCCATTACTTGCCTTTTTATCCAATTTTACCCTGAATATTTTTTTTTTATGAAACCTAGGTAGGTTTGCCTGGCTCCTTAGGATTATATATATATATATATATATAAATATAAATATATAAAATTTAATATAATATATAGACATATTAAAACAATAATAAATAATAATAAAAAAAAAAAAAAACACACACACACACACACACAACAACAAGGGGGGGGGGAAGCTCGTTAGGCTCCAAAATCTAAAAAGAAAACTCCGTTTGGAGACTGACATCGGAGGCGTAAAAACATATATATATATATATATATATATATATATATTTTTTTTCCACCTATTCTTATTGTACATTTCTCTGTTTTAATTTTGAATCTCGGTTGCCTCTAGCCTGACGAGCGGGAGCGAAACCGGTTGCTTCCCCTCCTTGTTGTTGAGTTTTTGTTTTTTTTATTATTATTTAATATTGTTTTAATATGTCTTGTAATATTAAATTTTATACTTTTATTTCGATCATTAATTTTTTCACCTAAAAAAATATAAATATATATATATATATATATATATGTAAAGATTCTTTGTGTATTTTCTTTTGATATTTTTTCGGGTAGGATATGTTGAAATACGTTTTTAATACTCAAAATCCTATATCGCCCACAATTTTTTTAATCACCCACCATTTTTTACTTCAGTTACTCATCGCCCCACCAACAGATGAAATCGCCCACTGATGGACAATATCACCCAGGTTAGTAAACCCTGCCTTAGGCTATTGTGGGACAATCCTGAGTGTAGAACTTTGAGCCTTAAATATAATCTGCCGCGAGTTCTCTTCTCCTATTGCTGCTGTTGAACCACTACTGTCATTTCTATTTATATATTTATCTATTAACGGCTTCCATATTGTATTTATGTCTATGTTGGGCCTACTGATTCTTGGTCATTTGGTCAGATTTTGGGGAAGTGGGTCAGGACGAGAAATTTTCAATATCCTTCCGTATCTATAGATATTATTTTTCTTCCGGTGAATCCGATTTATGGAACCTGTCCCCGGGGAAATCATTCCAGCCATCTGAGTTAAAAGGCAGTTGAAGTTATATTCTTCCATTTTAAAAGGATGAAGTCGAAATGCCTAGTTTTAGGATTTAAGTAAAATGAAAACCAATTTAAAATCAAGAACAAAATCCCATCAGTTTTACTTTCTTTTCAGATTTTCTTTATTCATTTATTTTCTTCTTCTCTCTTTCGTTCATTATTTTTCCTTGCCTTGTTTGTCACTCATGCTTCATTTCTGCCTTTTTTTTGTAAAGTTTCTTCTCTCCTGTGCCAATTTTTTTTTCATTTTTATTTTATTCTCTCCCGGTTTTATTCTCGTAACTCATATTTTCTATTCAAACTTTGAATGTTATTTTGCATATTTTCTACATTTTTCTTTTGAATGTTTTTTGTCTGGTTACTTCAAATTTTTTTATTATCTTCCCCTCTTTCTTTTTTTGTTTTTCTTTGCTTTTTTTCTTTTTTTTCTTTCTTTCTTTCTTTTTTTCTCATCTTTTCTTTCTTTTATCTCTTTGTTAAATTCTTTTTTCTGTGATTTTTTTCATCGTTTTTTTCATTTACTTTTGTTTTTCATCTTTTCTTTCTTCTTTCTTTCTTTCTCCTTCTTTTTTTTTTTTTCTCCTTTTTCTTATTATTATTCTTTTTGTCTTTTCTTTTAAATGTTTATTTCATATTTCTCATTATTTTTTTTTCATTTCTTTATTTTATTTTCTTTCTTTCTTTCTTTCTTTCTTTTCATTTTTTTTTTTTTTTCTCATCTTTCTTTTTTTTATTCCTTCTTCTTTTTTTTTTCGTTTTTTATTTTACTTTTTGTTTTTCATCAGTTTTTTTATATTCTTTTTTTTTTCTCAAATGCCTTTTCTTATTATTCTATCTTTTGTCTTTTTCAGATTTTTTTATTTCATATTTTCTCATTTCTTTTTTTCTTTTCTTTTCTGCCTTTTTTTCTTTCTTTCTTTCTTCAATTTTTTTCATTTCTATTTTTCTTCCCGGTTTTTTCTCATAACTCCTTTCTATTATTCCTTGAATGTTTAAATGTTTTTTTCATATTTGCTCATTCAAATTTTCTTTTTTTCTTTCTTTCTTTCTTTCTTTCTTTTATTTTTTTTCTTTCTTTCTTTCTCATCTTCTTTCTTTTTATCTCTTTTTACTTTTTCTCCTTTTTTATTATTCCTTGTTTTTTCATCTTTTTTTCTTAAAATGTTTCTTTTCCTTCTTTTTATTTTTTCATTATTTTTCCTTTTTTTTCTTTCTTTATTTTCTTTCTTCATTTTTTTTCTTTATTTTCTTTCTTTCTTTCTTTCTTCCTCTTTCTTTTACTTTTCTCCCTTTCTTGTTACTTCATTCTTGTCTTTTTCGTCAGTGTTATTATATTTGGTTATTCGTCTTTCTTTCTTTCTTTCTTTTTTCTTTCTTTCTTTCTTTCTTTCTTTCTTTCTTGCTTGCGATTTCTTTCTTTGTCTACTCTTACTCTTACTTTTATGTTTCTCTCTTTATTCTCTTACTTTTCTATCGTTTTTCATTTAGTTTCTTTCTTTCTCTTTCTCTTTCTCCTTCCTTCTTTCTCTTACTTGTTCCATCTTTTTCGCCAACGTTTTTTATTTACTTTTTCTCATGCTTTATTTCTTTCTTTCTTTTTTTGAGGAAACTTCATCGTTTTTTTTCTTTATTTAAGATTTTTCGTCCCTCTTTCTTTCTTTGATTTTTCTTTCTTTCTTTCTATATTTATTCTTTCTTTCTTTCTTTCTTTCTTTCTTTCTTTCTTTCTTTCTTACTTTCTTTGTCGACTCTTATTCTATTTTTCCTTTCTGTCTTTTTCTTCAAAATCTTTCATTTACTTTCTTTCTCTTTCTTCTGGTATTTCTTTCTTTCTTTTTTTCTCTTACTCCTTCTTTTCTTTTTCGTCAACGTTTTGTTTTTCGTTTACTTCTGCTCTTTCTTTCTTTCTTTCTTTCTTTTTTTTTTTTCTTTCTTTCTTGTAACGCTTTTCTTCTCTTCTCGTTTCTTTCCATTTCTGTTTATCTTTTTTCTTTCCACCTCTATTTCTTTGTTTATTCTCTTTGTTTATTTTCTCTGATTCTTTCTCTCCTTACGTCTCTCTCTTTCTCTCTTAATCTCTCTTACTCTCTCTATATTACTCTTTCTCTCTTACCTTCTCTCTCTTACTGTTCTTATTCCTCTTTGATCGCTTCTTTTCTGTCTGACATTTGGTCTGTCTCTTCAGCATGTCTACATTGTAGGTCCCTTTTTTCATTAATACATCCTCACCGATGCCCGGCCTTGTTTCTTGAATAGACAATTCCCTTATCTCGATTCTTTGCCTTTTAGAGATGGCAAGCAGAAATTAATCTTATCGAAGGATTTCAATTTCGTTAAATTGTCTTCGAGGTTCACTTGAAAATAAACAGAAAAATCGAACACAAGATTTTCTTTTGTAGTCTTTTATCCTTACTTTCTTCATTAAACAAATGTCATCCACCTACACTAAATAAATGAATAAGTCATCTGACAGGAACGGAGACAAAGAGAAAAAAAAAGAAGAAAAGATATAAGAAAGCAAATGTGGAATCAGGGTTGGAATGAAAAAAGGAAGAAAGAGGAAATATATATATATATATATATATATATATATATATATATATATATATATATAAGACTTCTTATGTCGCAAGTTGGAATCATATTTTTAAATAAATAATTTTATTTATGCTCTACTTTTGTATCGAGCACTATTTTTAAAAATAATAACTAAAATACTAAGAGACTTTGGATTATTTACCTAACCAGTTCCTTCCTATTTTCTATATATTTTTATGATATATATATATATATATATATATATATATATATATATATATATATATATATATATATATATTTGTCAGGCTCTTTACCTTTAACTAGGTCTGGACTACTTAACGTATTGAGCACTTTATTTAGTTATTTTGCTTACATTTTTTTTCTTTGGACGTTGGACTTGCATGCCAGACGATTATTTTCGGTTGACGTCCATGTTCTTGGTTCTTTCTTTTTAATAGTATTTTTCCTTTTGGTATTGGTTTGGTTATTCGCAAATCAAGACACCAAAAGGTTTTTCGGACAAGTATAATTTCTTATACTTATAAGATTATTACTACTACTACTACTAATATATATATATATATATATATATATATATATATATATATATATATATATATATATATATATATATTAATCGGTGTCATCCCAATCAAGGCAGTACAGTTACTAGCACGCAAGGGGTTACAGGGTTCGGAGGAATTAGGAACAGAAATATTAGTAATGAGCAGACAAAGAAAAGAGCAATCAGGAGGACAGTAGATAGCGATTGACGTTGCATTTGGTATTGGTTTGATTATATGCAAATCAAGACACTGAAGGTTTTTCGGACGAGTATAATTTCTTATACTTATAAGATTATAATATATATATATTATATATATATATATATATATATATATATATATATATATATATATATATATATATATATATATATATATATAGATAGAGAGAGAGAGTCCCCGTATTCGCGGCGGTTAGGGACCAGAACTGACCGCGAATAGTTAGAATCCGCAAATACTTGTAACCTCACCTAAAGGACCTTTAAAAGGACTTATTTTGATTGATAAAACCCCATATGCCTTAAACTTTCATCCTAAACACTTTAGAAACATTTCAGACCCTTTTAAAACATCTTTAAAAAATAGTATTTATGACCATACACTTAGCATAATTTTTCTTTCATACATACAATAACCGTATTTAATTACGCATAGATCGATACAACCATTGAAAATACCGTATAAAATATGTGTAACAAGACATAAAATATAAAGTTTAAAACATTTTCTAAAAACAGGTCTGTGATGATGGCCCCTGATTTAGCATAAGCCACTTTTAAGACCCCCAGCCGCAGCTCTTAACAAAGAACAAAGCTCGAACACTGTGCATGTTTTTGCGTTTACAATGAAGATGTATAATTCTGCCAATTTTTACATTTTTACCATAAAAATGGTCTTTTATGATTTAAGTCACTTAAATAAAATAATACAAGAATATTCTAAATATGTTCTATCGAAAAAATACGCGAATTGAGGGAGTTCTCAGCGAATAATTTGTACACATGTTCTTCAGAAAAACGCGCGAATATCTGGGGTTTCCGCGAATAACAAGTACATAAGTTCTAAAGAAATATTTTGAATGTGTGAAGCCGCAAATGCTGAAACGCGAATAGGTAGCAGCTCACTGTATATATATATATATATATATATATATATATATATATATATATATATATATATATATGTAGACAAAGGAGATATCTATCTATCTATCTATCTATCTATCTATCTATATATGTATATATATAAATATATATAGTCACGTTCTCCTTCGTTTTAGGCTTTAGCGGACATTTCTCTGTAGAAGAATGAAACGACAGAAAGATGTTAATTCCCTTCGTTTAAATTGATGTTGGATTTTGCCAATACTTCTGGTCGGAAATCAAATAAAAATATTGATTGGATATTGATTAAACAAGATAAAAAAAAGATATTATAATAAGACATGCTTCATGTCAGCCACTCACCGGTCGACTTTCCCCGTCAGAATACAGCTATCAATTTTAATTATTTCAAGCACTATTAAATTAACGCTGTGATAATATCGGAAATGTCTAGCCAACATTTATTATTTTCTAACTGTACAGAAAAAAGCTCATAATTACAAGAAGATGCTCATATATTCAAGAGTAAGATACATATATATATATATATATATATATATATGTGTGTGTGTGTGTGTGTCATTCGCAGACAGTACTGTTTCGCTGTATCACAGCTCCTCAGTGCGACTAGACATCCGAATACTTCAAGCCCGGATCGAAACCCAACCGATCAGTCAGAGTTTCTACCACTGAGCTATCTTCATTCGACAGAGAGAAACAACTAAATATAGCGTATTGTTTTTACGAATGTAAACAAATTTCAATCAGCCGGAGTGCTCCAATTGATTTTACTGAAGAGCTTTGCATTAACGCAGGTGGCTGTTGTTTATAGAATTAGCTTATCACTCAACAGTGCTCAATTGAAATATATTTTCAAGAGTGACAGAAGTTTGACACCACAGAAC